GCAGTGTCTTGATGTTCGGGCGCATCTGCCTCATTCGCTTCAAGGCCTCCCTCAACGAATCCAGTGATCTTGAAGAGTTCGTCTTCAGGATGTCCGTGGTGCCCACATGCAGAAACAGCGTGTCCACCCGGTAAGGCAGGTACTCAAGTAGCGCCGGAATGTCCGAAAACATAGCACCACCATAGGGAAGCACGGCGTCGACGAGTCGTTCGGGCTGAAGTGCGTGTGGACGTACCGCATGATTGAGTCCCCGATGACGGCACACTTCGTAGGGTAATTTGGATATCTCCGCGACAAACGCTCCGTTATATATATATATATATATATATATATTATATATATATATATATATATATATATATATATATATATATATATATATATATATATATATATATATATATATATATATATATATATATATATATATATATATATATATATATATATATATATAACAGGTGGTCGCAATTTCCGGAGGCCTCCACTACGGCATCTGTAACAATCAGATTGTGCTTTTGTGGCGGTAAATCCAAGCAATTTATTATTATTATTATCTGCTAAAGCGGAAGAGTTGATCTTAATTATCTTTTCTCAGTCAGTCATTTTGCTGATGGAACGCAAGCATGTCAACCTTTTTGCCCCTCAGCCTGCCTCTTCTGCTACAGCATACTAGTATATAAACCACACACTTGGAGTATCAAGTTTTTGCAGCGGTGAGTTGGCGCGGTTGGTTATAAAAGGTGTCCCACGTAACTTTAGCAGAGTTTAAAAATATGCCGAAGCACGTAATTACGACGCGACCAAATGTATGTTGCTCACCATTGCCTGGAATTAGTCAGACTATTTTTTTTGTTCTCAAATATTGTTTAATTAGATATGTTTAATTAACTCACTTTTGAAGGAACGAAGCTAGATAAAAAAACATTCAATGAGAAAGCTGTAGATCGGTTTGCAAAACGTCCAAATAGATAGTTTTGAACTTTATATATGTTGCGTATTTATGCTTTTCAGCTAATTACAAATGCCCGCGAAATACAAAAAAATACCACGTGACAAACCCGCTCGCGTATAAGTGCGCACGATGATTCTAGTGCTGCGTGACGTTCCGCGTACGAACGACCCGCTTCCGTCGCACCGGTTCGTGATAGCGATAAGCAGTCACAGCAGTTATTGTTTTTGTGGCTGATAGCGAAACGTGTTCATCGTAAAGCCACCACCATCGTTGCGGCATTGCCGAGACAGCAAAATGTGGCAAATGCTATGGTCGTTCGTACGCGGAACGTCAGGGAGCACTATAGAATGATATGGCGAACGAGCGGGTTTGTCACGTGAGATTTTTTTTTTGTACTTCGCGGGCATTTGTATTTGGCAGAAAAACACGACTACCTAATAGATGTAAAGTTCAAAACTGTCTAATCTGACCTTTTTGCCACCCGATCAACAGTTATTAACTTTCTCATTGATTTTTTTACCTAGCTTCGTTCCTTCAAAAATTAGTTAATTAAACATATCAATTAAACAATATTTGAGAACAAAAAATATAGTCTGACTAACTCCAGGCAACGGTGAGCAACATGCGTTTGGTCACGTCGTAGTTATGTGTTCCAGCATATTTCTAAACTCTGGCCCCGCCGCGGTGGTCTAGTGGTTAAGGTACTCGGCTGCTGACCCGCAGGTCGCGGGATCAAATCCCGGCTGCGGCGGCTGCATTTCCGATGGAGGCGGAAATGTTTTAGGCCCGTGTGCTCAGATTTGGGTGCACGTTAAAGAACCCCAGGTGGTCTAAATTTCCGGAGTCCTCCACTATGGCGTCTCTCATAATCATATTTGGTGGTTTTGGGACGTTAAACCCCACATATCAATCAATCAATCACATTTCTAAACTCTGGCTAAAGTTACGTGGGACACCCTGTATACTATCCATAGTAATATGAAACTTACAGTTGCTTCTACCGTCGTTAGTTCAATAGTGACTCATTTATCGATATAGTATCGATACTACCATCGATAGTTCCGCATCAATACCCAAAACCATGTCTACAGTGTTCTTTGTTGTCTTCCTGTATAAATGTACAATGGTTAGGGTTTTGGGTTCCAAAGTCACGATATCCTTACAAGGAATGCCGTGGCGGCGGGCTCAAGAAATTTTGACCATATGGGTTTAAATATACACATGCACTTAATTATGCGTGGGTATCTGCGACCTAAGTGTCAGTAATGAAGCGTCATAAATAGCGGGTGCGCCTAGATATTTGCATAATTATGTGTGAACAAATACCTCAAACTAATGATGCGTGCTTAATTGCGCCGATGTGTCTAGAATCGTTGATATACTATTGAAAATATGTATTTCTGTATCGAGATAATTTGAAAGTGTATTTGTAATCTGAACGGTGAAACACATACACTAGGCCGGACACGAGTATCTCGTTACTTTTTTGATGCCATAAAGCTGATGCGTTTCGAAGATAGAAAAGAAGTCGTTTTTATGCTAAGCCAAGAATAGGCACGCCGTCGGTCAGCGACAAGTTATAAAATCGGTGAATGGTTAGGCATACCCACAGACTGTCCAATTTAGTAAAGCGTCCTATGTGCCGCTCACGATACGTATAACTGAGGAGGTAGCACAGACGAAAATATATCTATTTCAAGGCCGGTCGGGCATTTTAGTATTTATTATAGCATTTCGGAATTTGTAACAACACAAGCTTGTCCTCGTGTGCAATTGTAGAGAAACATATATTTCGCGAGTCTTATGGTGAAGCCGAAACACTGTCTAGAAGACAGCTTATTTGATAAGCTAATGTCATTTAAGTGTGATGAATGCAACCTTCTCAGCAAAATAGATGGTTTTCGTTACCAATTCGAGCGATGTTCAGCGCTTATTAAAGTATTTGCGGAACATCATCCCCCACATAACTAAAAAGTGTTTCAATATCTGCATGCTTATCGGTATTCCTGCATTTTTATTCCGGGACTCTTTTTTTTTTTTCTTCTTTGCGCGACACTTTTTTTTCGAAATACCCCGTTGAAACACAAGCTACACTGTCGTCCTTTATGAAAGGGAACACGTGAGCACGTGACCTGCGCTCTGCGGCTGCTTCCCACGGGACTATCATCGACTGACAGCAAAAGAAAAGACATTGGCTTTTGGCGTCATCTATTGACAAACAAAACACCGAGTTATTGTCGCCGGACAAGCACTGCAAGATACTGTGGGCAGCCGTTTTAGAGACCAGGTAACGTGATCGCGTGTTCCCTTTCATAAAGAATGACATGGTACTTCAGTATCTCTATTTGAAGTTCCCAGCGCGTGTTTGTCAATGTCTGAATTCGGTAATATTTGCCAAGCACCTCTGCTCAGCCCTGATTCAACGGAAACCACCCGCCAGGTAAACTTTTCACCGCGCCACCGTGCAGGTGCGAGTGATATTCAGTGGGCCGGCTAGAACCACGCCTCAACAAACCTTGAAAACAAAAGCAAAGGTTAAAGGCACAAAAAAAAAAAAAGCATTTCCGCAGGCCTTGTGGTATTGAACCTCCCCATCCGCGGTCAGCGTGCTCTGTATGTCGCGAGTAGGAACGTGTTCACCTTCTGTGGACTATTTTATTTCCGAGCGATATGCAATGTATACACAGTCAGCCAAAGTTGATTGCGTATATGCTGCGTTTAGATGAAAACCACCGCCACTCGATGGTCTTCTTTTTGAGTTCAAGAATATTTGAGTCGTGACCTACCAGTGCCACCTTCACTTTTCGACACATCAATTTGATTGATATGCGGGGTTTAACGTCCCGAAACCACCATATGATTATGAGCGACGCCGTAGTGGAGGGCTCCGGAAATTTCGACCACCTGGGATTCTTTAACGTGCAGTCAATCAAATCTGAGCACATGGGCCTACAGCAGTCGAGTACCTTAACCACTAGTTCACCGCGGCGGGGCACTTTTGGATACATCAATTAATCCAGCCATACATTCCTTGCAACACTCCATCTGCCGTTGAATAACTTCGCAGTCCACTCAGCGCAATTAACTGTCAACTTAAAATGTCATCTACTAAATCACTAAAATGAGTCCGCACACATTATACCAATAGCACTTGGTTTGGTTTCTCCATGATACGTAGATATAATCGATATTCGCGCTTTCTAGACGTAGCGCTGTGAATTAGGAAAGTCAGAGATGAAGCTCGGTGACCCGGAATATTAATTTATTAACTTTACTAGCAGCTTAATCAATCAGAACCTGAAATCACATGAGTTTGGGCATGCTGGAATCCCATTTCAGCATCCACACATGCTGCCTATAATGAGTTGCTGAATCCACCATTGGTGTGAAACCGATGTCGACGAACTTACTGAACAAAACGCACCAGGCAGCAGCATTTCGAGTCAGCGATACGTTGTGCCAGCGCCAGCACCTAGTCCCATTTGAAGCACCACATCCTATTCCAAAACGAGTGACGAAAGCTCGAGTTGAAAGCAAGTACAGCCAAACATACGTGCCAGGAATCGGCCACCGTGTGATCTTTGATTACTGCACTGTGCTAAAGAATGCTCATTTTTAAAAGTGAAAAAAAAATTAAACCTGCAACTGAAGCGAACTCGAGGCAAAGTTACTTGAGAGGAGCAATGGCAACGATAACGCAGTCGCGTCGTACGCAAGCGCTGCGCTTTTTGTATTTAGCGCCATTTGGTTGTTACCCTCAAACGCAATAAGTATTCACTATGAATTAGAAATAGTATGTTTAAAAATTCACAAATTGCAATACAAAATTGATAAAGGTCTTTTAGTAATTTATTTTGTTACAAGTATTGCAGCAAAACAATAACATTAGTTACAAAAAAAATTTAGTTCTTGCTGTCTTAATAAGAAGTTAATTAATGTTCGCTTTCTTGCGCTACATATTTTTGGTTGTTAAACATTATTTGTTTTTTATTTAGTGCACAGCAGTGCTTTGTATTGTATTTTTGTTGTTTACTTACGTTGAGTTTGAGAGTATATTCTCACACGTACCGACGTCTTCGTTTCATGGCAATGTAACTGTGGCTGTGGAGCTGTACCCTTAATTTAGAGCTGTTCGTACGTAGTATCTCTGTCATGAAAAAATGAATTGTAACGTCGTGAACATATTTTGCAAAGTTATAGGTGTTCTTTTGGTTCTGGTGAGTACCATTTCATCAAACAGGTGGGCTTTTCCGGGGATATTTTCTGGTTGAGTAATCCGGGTGTAGTTTTCAGCTTTATTGTGAGAAGCATTGCAACTTCCGTTTATTTCGCTTATGCATATGTGTACACGTGGTGCCTGCCGTTACGTTTCTGTGTGTAGGCCTTCGTGATTGTTTGCCCGAAACCCGTGCATGTCGGGCGAGTACGAAAAGCCGGTACACGTTGCACCTGTGTACACGACGATCTCGCTGTCGGCCTCTTTCATTTTCTCTGGCTTAACGAAGTGGTCGCCGGTGGCAGTTTTCCTCGACATTTGCTGGCGATTAGCCAGGCTCCGATGCCAGTCGTTACTTCTTAGCATACGTATGGCTCACAAACATATTCCGATAGGGATGCCTGCCTCGGACACATTCTGCGAGAGCTTGGTGGCACTTCCCGTCGTGTCAACACATCGCACGGGCGGTAATTGAATGGAAAACATGCTATTTGTGTTCATTACTGGGATGCGTACGTTTTGTGTGGGACCCTGTCAACCAACGCAGTGAGCGAGCTTCCTTTCGCAGTCCCTGCGAAAATGTTTCCGCGGGAACGTTCTTTTTTTTTTTCCCTAATTTATTTGAGTCAGCGTAAAGCGGTTCGACAACTTTCGCGCTCGCAGAAATTGCTTGACTTGGTGAGCGGCTGATCGCCGACAACAGAAAGACGCCGTTAACTGTTGAACCATTCTGTTAGCTTTGAAGCGATGTGCTTTCGTCGGAAATTAGCAGAATGTCGCCCTGATTGTGGGCTCATGAAACCCTTGGGTACCGTTTAAAATATGGTGTAGCATGCTTGCTCAAGAAGCCGACCTTGGTGTTCACGGAACAGAAATCGAAAGATTGCGGTGTTAGATTTACGAGTAAAACGTCACTATTGCGAGAAAGTTATGCTGTTTTAGACATTCACAACGACACTCTAGCGTGCTCAGTCGGTTTCAATTTAAGTTGACAAGCCGTACTTGGACACCGGCGGCATAAAAATGCCACACACGGCCTCCATGTAGCACAGCTGCAAGCAACGTGTGCGCAGGTGTTGATAGAGCACCCACCAATGCAAGACGTACGCGCGTCTGCTGACGTTGCAAAATCTACCACGTGTATATTTGTGGCATAGAGTTTATATAGATCTTACATTTATATACGCACATATCTTTTTCTGTCTTTTAGTATTTTTTTTTCTGAAAGTAAGCTCAGCTTTTCAGCCCATTGAAGCAGTCTTTCGTGAAAGTTTCTCAGTCCTATGCATGAACAGGCCTGAGAAAACCGAAGCATTGCTTCTGCCCTTTGCACTACAGTTTTATTTTTAATGTTTGCAGCTACATAGTTTAATGTTGTAGTTAAAAAATGGAGAGGCATTGAAATATCTGAGCCTAGTCTCTGAAAAATTCCGTTACATGCCATCTCAAGTTTGTGCATTACATCTGTTGAAGGCCATTGTGATTCGTGTCATATGTCTAGCATTTTTTCGTTGGCTAATGTAGTCACCTTTTGTGATGTCGATGCGGGAGAATGTCTTAAATGGGTGGTATCTTAACTTTTAATGCTTTTGGGCCATGGTTCTGTCACACATTATAAAATGGTATTTGAAGTTTAATTTGTAAGCATTATTTGCACCCTATACTGGTTTCGTTGAAACTTAATTGACTTTCTGTGTTGGGGGTGAGTAGAGGCACATCGCTTTTCTCGCAACTTTCATCCGATGTGTTATTTCTTTTTACCCACCATTTAATTTGACCATCACTGTCTCCAAAGAGAAGCCTCATGGCGTTGAAATATAGCACATTAAGTATACCAGTTTTTTATTGTGATGTGCCATCAGTGGTGTAATTATTCTAAATTGAAATTTAAAAGTATTTATTGTGTCATTTTCTTGGATATTTTACATGTATTTCCGTGTGAGCTCTAATCTACTCGTATTGCTTGCATGCAACTACAATAACCAAGGCTTTAATGTAATAACATGTGTAAAGCTGTTTGTGAAAGACATGGTGATGGATCTGATGTCCAGAGTAGTTATAGATGCTGTTAATTTGAATTACACAAATATCACCATATTGGACTTGTGTGAAATGATTGTCTTCATTGTACAATTCACTTAGTTTCCAAGTAGCTGTACTCAGCTTTCTTTACTTTCTCTAGTTTGTTGTGCTTACCAAAAGTAAATTAAAGTGCTGTGCCATATATGAGCCTGCCAATAAAGTGAATTGAGAAGCATATTGTCAAATACATTTGATGTGGCTTCATGTTGTTTAAGCAAATGGCTACCACATGCTTCATTTCAAGCACTACAGCTTGAAGTTTATTTTGTTGATTTCAAGGCCATCAATGCTCAAAAACTGAAAGATGGCCACATTTTTCTGCTTTTGTAAAGATAGGCTAGAGTACTTGCTCCCGCCGTATTTAAGGCTGATTCCTTCGTACCGTAGCTTGGGAGAGAATATTAAGAGACGGCATGGGCCTATTAACAAATAGAAAACATGAATCAACTTCCCAAATATATTTTTCCTTGGATGGCTCCAATAAAGTGATGCTGTGCGTTGAAGTTGCATTAAAAAAAACGTAATCGAAAAATGACATTGCAGCAGAAGGCAGGGTTTTTGCAGTAAACGCATGCCTCTTTCGTGTTTGTTTCTATAATAATAAATACTTGTGCATGTGCATAATGATGTTTTCTGAGACGTGTAAGGCTTTACTGAACTATTAGCATCTTAACTTTTGTTCTGTGGAGTGTTCAAACAAAAAATTTTGAAGACTGGATAACATGTGAGGTAGGTGTGTGTGGATAAACCCGCATCAGGTGTAAAATTCTACAGATAATATAGCCTACAACAAATTTAAAATCTGTTTCAATAGGGCTTGTAGCACCACTGCAGCCAAAATGCGCATGTGGTTTTTGTGTAAACTAAACTAACTGCCATCTGTGTCACGAGTTTGAGTTGGCTGCCGCGATTCTCGCGAGCGCTCTCTTCCGAGCAGACCTTTTCAACTGTAAGAGGATGCACACTTGCATATTTACTTCTCGGAGGAGATGACGGCAAGCCTTCTTCGAAAAGTTGTTGCAAAGTGAAAAATAACTTATTTCAGCCTGATAGCATGTGCTACTCATGTGCAAGCGGCTTTGTGTGCTCACATAGGCAGCTATGTTTACATGAAAACTACTCTGGGTCCTGTCTCACTCGGTGCTCTTCTTAAACCAAAACTGCAACTGAGCCGTCTTCAAAATAATTAACTGTCATGTGCTCAAGCAAGCAAGTCTTCTAGCCAGAATAAGTGAGTCTTTAGCTACTTCTTGCGACAGAAAATAAAAGATGCAAAATTTTTGGGCCTGTTCTCTTTGAAAGAAAAAAAACATTGCTGTACTTTCTCTGTCTTCAAAGGTAAATACTGTGTTGGAATTGTAAGGTAAATAAGTATTCGAAAGAATTTTATCAGGTTCCTTATGCCACCTAGTCTTGTTACAGAGAAGCACAGCATAGTAGATAAGACTGAGTGGTCGTTTGTGGCTGTGTCAACAGTTAAATTTACTTCTTTGATATGGCAAATTCATGTTTCAGCAACTAAAATAATTCTTTATGAAAGGATTAGCTAGCATAGCAGCACACGTTTCACCACTCTCATAGCGTCTGACTTACTTGCCTCTCAGAAAGACCCAAGGCAGAGCTAATGGAAAATGAAAAATTTGGATGGGCCAGACCACAGCTTAAAAACTACAAATTTCCATTTCATCACTTGTGTCTTTACCTATTGGGCTAACCTTCATGCTCTCGCGCGAAGCGTTATGTCACAGATTTTAGTGTTCATGTGGCCAGCTGTGTTTACCTGAAAAACCAGAACTATTCTTCCCAGCTCAGTGTTCTTTGAAACCAAAACTGCATTTCCGTGCTTTTAAAATGCCTTTGAATAATTAACTGTCGCACACTCTAGTAATTGAGGTTTCCAGCCACGGTTAGTGGGTTATTAGTAGGACTCCATGCTTTCAGAGTTTATTAGCAGTGAAGCTCCTTATGGCCACACCCCATCGTCTAAAGTTCCCTGCTGCAAGACCACTCGCACCCCTCTCCCTCATGTCTCCCTCTCCCTCTTTATTTGACTTCACCCTCTCTGTTGGGCTGGCTCCCACTGTGCGTGCCGTACACTCACTCGCCTAGTTGTTCCTGCCACCGAGCACAGCAGATGCTCTCCTTTACTGGCTATCCACTCTACTTCCTTCATGACACGATTGCTCTTGGAAGTGGACGCTACGGCCAACACAAGAACTAGCAATGCTGATGTTCCACCTTGCATCATGCCTTATGTGTTTGCAAATCACGCCCGAAGTACGAAAAAAGTGAGCATGGAGAAACACACAACGCATCACAAGCGGCTACTCGCATGTCCCAGCTTGCTGCAGCATATGCATTGCCTCTGCGATTAGCTTTGGCAGCGTGCCATTGAGAGCAACGGTGCGCTGCCATATCCAATTCCGTGGCTCACAAGTGAATCATACTGGAACAGCAGCGCTGTAAGTTCATGTGTCAGCCGTGTGGGCCTGCTCACTAGCAGAGCTGCGAAACTGTACTGGTTCTAACAATGTTGCCCGACCCTACCACCTTCATGAAAGCGAATAGCGAGGTCAAGCATAGTCATTTGCGTCCCATTTCTAAGGAGGTTCACTCACTGGTTGTATTTATACAACGGAACAACTGGTAGTCTTTTTTTTTTCTTGAAATAGGGAGGGTGTTTTTGGAAATTTTTTTTTTGAGAGGGGAGGGATTTGGCACTGATCGAAGTGTTGTGAACGTCCAATTCTTCGAAATTTGTAGTTTAATTGTGCATTGCAAATTGTTAGTGTGTTCTTGTTAACTTTATTTCCAATGAAAATGTGTTGCATTGTGGCTGACAATCCTGTTTCTCCATTTTTTTTTTTTTTTTTTTTTTCATTTCCTGCACAGTCGAGTGCATCATTTTAGAGACCACGAGTGCGCGTGCCGAGGCGCGTCTCTGCGCCTTCTGGCGGCTGCACGGCTCTGTCCGAGAGCGCGTACTGCGCACGCTCGTACCATATCACCCGGCAGCCTGCCCTTTTGCTCGTTTCAACGGCACGCATCTCGAAACGATGCGGACGGTGGAAGGTGTCACTTCTATAGTCGCTGTGAAGACAATGAACAAAGCCGAGTGCTAATGTGACGACAGCACATCATTTGCGGGTTTCGGCGTTCTGCACATAGTGCACGTTACTCCTAGGCGATCAGCGGCGTGATCACATGTTGAATGTCGAGTTAGGCAATCAATAAGCAGAGCCAAAAAGTTGCCTTTTGCGCTCTCATTCGCCGAACTAACACACGTCGTAATACTCGGTCCAAATATCATGCGTCTATGAACATGCAGGAAACCACCAAACGTCCAACAGCTGCAGAAAAGAGCCGAGGAAGAAAGATGAAAACAAACTCGGTTTATTAAGGATAAATCCTTTATTAAGGCCGCTGCGATGGTGCAGTGGTTTCGATGTTCGGCTGCTGACCCGAAAGACGCATCTTAAAGCCTAGTCGCGCATGCCATATTTCGATAGAGGAGAGATTCTTGAAACTAGTATACTGAGTGGACGTTAAAGAACCACGAATGAGCAAACATTCCCAAGACGTTACTTTGATGGAGCTCTGTCATATCTATATAATAACATTTATTTCTCTATATCGTGCTTCTGTCACGTCGAGAGCCCGCACTTATTATTGGTAGGAGTCGAGCCTCAACCCAATAGTTTCTAGGATTCGAATTTCAGATATTCATGTGTCGTCTTCTACTCGAGCCATAAACCCCGATTGAAGTCAACCCAATAATTGGATGCATTATAGTAGATTAAGACAAGTAAGCGTGAATTAATGCGGATTGAGACGTGCAAGAGATGTCATAGGCTTTCACTTTCGAGTCTTTTTATATTTGGGGATATCTGGGCATGTTTTTTCCGGAAACCAGAGAAAAGCACAAAGTTTGAAAGGGGCGTCAACGCTTTCAGTGTTTCAATAGAACTCTACCCATGGCATATGCACGGAACATTCTCGAACGCGAAGTTGTCGGGAATTGAGACTGCCTCCATTAACATTCGTCGCTCGAGCATTCACCACAGTACACACAGTCGGTCTTGGCCAGTGGCCGATGCTCTGCGAGTTTCTGGGCCGCCATGACCAGGGAAGGACTTGGACCACTGGTTCTTATCGATGGGAACCTTTCAGCCTCCACGTACTCTCTTATAATAGATAGAGAATTGCTTCCCTATGTCTTGAATTGGCCGTTCAAGGATGGTTGTTTCATGTACCAGCATGACAAGAGCCCGATTCACTCTGCTCGCAATGTGAAATCTTTGCTTGAGGGCTTTGCTATTCGCACATTGGAATGGCCACCTGTAGGAGCAGACCTGAACCCCATTGAAAACGTCTGGGGTCTCGTGAAACGCCGACTTGCGGCGCGGAATCTTGGAAGTTCAACGAAGGAGACCCTATTCACGGCCATACAGAAGGAGTGGGAAGCACTTCGTTCACGCCCCGAGATCGTGGCCGCGCTTTACAATTCGATGCCATCTCGTGTGGCACAAGTGATTGCCGCCGATGGGCGTTTGATTAAATGCTGAAAGTAGGGATCTTTCCTAGATAGCAGTTATAGCTATCGTTTTCTTTTATTTTATGGCTTATAAGAATAAACTGTTTATTTATCACGTTTCCTGGCTATTCATTCTGGATATTCAGTGGTTCACTGCACGCGCGATATTCGCACCTAGAAATGAAGCTGGCATAGCATCTCCGAGACAGAGCACAAAATTCATCACTGTAAGATGAGCATATCACGCAACTCCATTCGAGAAAAGCTGAGAAACTGCATGTTTTCCGCGCTGCAGCTAGGAACAAAGCGTATTGCATGGCGCGCTCGAGCCATGCTATTACATTAGAGGCATTCTTGCCGTTATATTATCACTCGGGAGTACCGGTGCTTGGACAGGGACTGCAGAAGTGGCACCTTGCGCAGTCCGCATCGTTTCGAGATGCGCGCTGTTGAAACAAGCGAAAGGGCAGGCTGCCGGGTGATATGGGACTAGCGTGCGCAGTACGCGCTCCCGAAAAGAGCCGTGCAGCCGCCAGAAGGCGCAGCAACGCGTCTCGGCACGCGCTCCCGTGGTCTCTAAAATTATGCACTCGATTGTACATTTACCCTGGTTATGAGGCTGTCGATGTGCAGTGCTGCAAACTTGCCAGTCCCTCTTTGGGAGGAGAGAAGATACGCAAGCTGATTCTCGGCTTTTTCTCCCAGCCTCTCCCAGCTTTGTGGTGAAAACTAAAGGACCTATTATTAATATTACTATTCTCAATTAATACTTTGGAGTCTTAGAAGGTGTGATATCTTAACACGAAAACATGTGAATATAAAAAGTGTTAATGTCTGAAATGCATTAACGCACGTACATTTGACCATACAAGCATAAATACTTGAATATAAAACAGCTGTGTTTGTTTCTATTACAACCTAAAGCTTTTAGTAATAGATGCAGGCATACTTCATGGTACTGCTGCCGCTTGTGAAGGTTCATTCTTTTGTATATACGATTCCCAGCTTTGAAAATGTCTTTTGAATGTTAGAATGCCCCATTAAAATTTTGCCCCATTAAAGTTTATCTGCTAAATCTGAATTGCTAAAAATTTTGCCAGTGGATGGGTATCGGGATTTTTCAGATGCGTCTCCGAAAATGCAGATCTTTAGTTATAGGATACCTAATTAAAAAAAAAAAAGCGCAAGATTTTGTGTCAATGCTTCTATGTAGCTGTTGACTGTATCTTAGCTTCACAAGTTCTTGTAAATGACACTTTGTTGGTTCTAAAACTTGCTTGTTGTTGTTTGTGTCTCACAATTTTTATAAGTACTCTCCTTAACTTTTTGCAGCCTTAAAAATGTTTCTGTTCTTGTTTCAGTTGCTGTTAAGTGCTAGACAAGTCTCTGCTGAAAGTGTGGTGGCATTAACATCTTCAAATTTTGATGAGCATATAGGTATGTTTTTCAAAAACATGTTTTTTCTCCATTGTGTATTTAGTTCTGCAATTCGCGAGCGCATTTTGTGTTTACTGTTCTGTTTTTTTTCCCACCAGGGAAGTACGAACTAGTCTTTCTTAATTTTTATGCTGACTGGTGTCGGTTCAGCCAAATATTGGCACCAGTTTTCGAAGAAGCAGCAAAGAATGTCCAGGAGCACACAAAGGTTGGTCTATTGGTCTACATTTGAATTGCTGAGGCTTTTTATTTTCTTCCATGCAAATGAAATCGGCAAAACAATGTAGAGTTCCACATGGCCCCCCTACAGTGTTAAGGTAAAAGGAGAGTGATCGATAAGCACCATTATGACCATGGGCATATCCAGGGGTGTGGGGGGTTTTGGATATCCCGGTGCTTTCTTTAATTTTCAAATGTATAAGCCAAGTATAGATGTTGACAGTCGATTTATGTGCTTTAGACTTTCTATAAACTGACCGACCTTTTGGCGTGTTTTTTAATTTTCTCGTCATGCTCTCGACTGCATAGTTGCGTTCTCTGCATTGTCTTTTTCATTGCCTTGTTTGCTAATAGCTTCTATATCATTCTTGCTTTTTGTGCGCACTTGCCTGAAAGTGCAGCCTAAGCAGACAGCCTTAACTTGAGGGCTAAGATCTGCACACAGTGCATCCGTTACCTTCATGTTGCATGGAAAGGCTGTGAATGCTAGCATATTCAGTTTTTTTTTTTTTGTTATTCTGGAAGATATTGTGGTCAAGTACAGTATTACTCTGAAAATTTCAAATCTTCTTTTCAGGGGCAGGTTGGCAAAGTGCTGTTTGCTAAGGTGGACTGTGACAGGGAAAGTATGTGAATATTCATGTGGTTTTGACTATTCTTTTGAAGCTTCTCAATTGGCTACTTTTATAAAAATACACCTGCTGCTCCATTACTGTTTTAAGGACTCTTCTTGATCCTATGTATCACTTCAATGGGATGTGCCCTGTGTTCAAAGGAGAGTTTGGGGTGCAAAGCATTAGAGGAGAGCTTTTATTTCCTTCGCTGCCACTGATGTATTGGTGCGTTTTTGCAATCTCTCCCTACCCTCCACCTAGTGTCACTGTGGTGCCGGCACATTCTCCATTGTGCATTAAAAAATTCGTGCCCAAGTGCAAAGCTTGCGGGATTTGGTGAGAGTCTAGTGGCTTTGTCGTTACGATTATTCAAAATTTTCTAGAAGCATCTCCTTTCGCCTCACACTTTGTTGGTATGTGTATTGAAAAGTGTGGAGCATACATGCCCGTTGGGGGGGGGGGGGGTATGGTAGCTTTGCATTTGCATGCACTCCTTAGTTGGGCTGAGCGAGCGCGTGGTGCTCTTGCCACCATGGGTACAAGAGTTGTTCTGCAATCTGCCGTAGATTAGCAGGTTTTGCTGTTTTTGTATTCTGTTAGTGTATTTTCTACGGCATGTGATGTTCAACGGCCTAAGCTGTTGTCTATCCAATAGACAAAAGCACGACTATATCGCTGATTTCGCTCCTTCACCACGGCTTTGCTTGTGGTTACCTGTTGTAGGCCCTTTCCATTCTAATGCGTCTTCTTTACTTCACAACGTGCTATTTCTCTGCATTTCAAGCATTCCTGATATTCCCGAAGCCAAGCTGACCCTAAAGCTGTGTTGCAGCTAGAAATGGCAGTGAAAGAGTTAATTGTAATATTATCTTGTGTGCTCTCTATATACTGTCAATGTCTAACATTAATTAGAAACAAAGCACTAAGACAAAATAGCATTCGGAAATAATTTACCTTTTTCATCATGAAAGGACTGATGACAAACTTTAAAGAGACACTAAAGGCAAATAACAATCTGTCGGACTGAAAGATCAGTGTTTGAGAATGTCTAAAACATTCATATTATCAGCAGCGGAGATCTACTGAGAGAAATTTAGGTAAATGTAGAACACCATATGCACCACCAGTGGGACATTTTAGAATCATCCATTTTGGAAACATCCCAATGATGTCAAAGTCCTTGATACAATAAATTACCAGTAATCAAGCAAGTCGCAATAAAAAGAGAAAGTTCTACGCATTGCAACACGTAATAAATCTGCATTTCTGTTTACTTTGTGGAAAAAATAACCACTTGGTGTTGCCATGATATATGGCAAGAGTGGTTCAAAACAACCTATGTAGTCTGGTTAGGCCAAATATGTTCTGCCATTTAATAAGGCTCAGTTGAACCAGGCAAGCACAATGTTTTTTTGACAAAATATTGTGCATTTTATTTCTGGTGTGAATAGCTTGCAGTGGCATAACTACAAATGGGTTGCGTTTTTAATCATTTTTTTCTCAAAAATGCTAGGCAAATGCAAACATGTCCATGATTGTGGTTTCACAAAGCATTACAAGTTTCAGCACCATCGTCTGGTAACCCTGCATTTCTACAATCCTTTGCATATGCGTGAATACTTTACACACTAAATACCTCTCTTATGATTTTGCTGCAGCAGTGATTCAATCTTGTCTAATATAAATATAGTTTAGGTCTACTTATAATCATCATCATTTAATGGTTAGCACTAACATAAATGTTTATGTACATACATTAATGCTTACGTATGGTGTGCTAAAGCTTTGCTTTTGGGTAACATTGCAAATGCAATCCAGTATTCTGGTAACAGGGCACTGTTAAAGAGAATCCGTACAAGCTAAAAGCTCCTCATGCAGCGTGCATGTAATGTTGCCGAATGCTGGAATGGTGTATGCCACTCGAGCTGCAGCAAAGAAACCGACATGGCTTTCCACTGAGTGCTGCAAACGAACCCCTACACTTGAAATGGCTGAGTGCTGTGCCTCTGCGCCATGTCGCAAGCCAGTGTGTCAGTGTCAGGTTAAAATAAGCATTTTCTTGGCACAAAAGTAGCACTATGAAGTTTCTCGACGGCTATATCGGCAATAAATGTTGACTTGATGTTTGCACAATGTCTAGTTGTGCCCTCGTTGATCTGGGCTAACTTGCTTTTTTCTAGAACGCGTAAGGCTGTGGTAAACCTGAATGAGAAGAGAGGAAGCAAAGGGTCTAAATTCTTGTTGTGAAAACCAGACTAATTTTTGTTTTGTGCGTGTGCTAGTTTCAGGGACTTACGGTAAAATTCATTGTGCTGTAAATTTGTTGTCTATACCAGGAAGGCGTACTTTGATTTGAGCACGAGTGATACACCTTTTTTTTTCCATACTTTTTGTCTCTTTGCAGCATCTATTGCAGCAAAACACCGCATAACAAAGTATCCTACGTTAAAACTAGTGCGAAATGGTGTGGTCATGAAACGAGAATATCGGGGACAGCGCTCTGCAGAAGCCATGAAGAACTACATCATTGAAATGCTAAAGGACCAGGTGAAGGAAATACCACACGAAGCAGAGGCACAGCATGTGGAGGTAAGAAGTGCAACTTTACATCATGAAGGATTGAAGGCGAGTTGAATCTGGCTAGTTCTTAACACAAATGGTAGTTTTGGGACAGTCTGGGCATAAGGGACTTGTTTGGTTACTGCATGCTGCCCATTGTGGAAGGAAGTATCTTATGCAGTGATTCCATGCTAGTAATGGTACTTGAATATTGTTGCAGTAAAGCCATAGGTGTGCAGTCTCTATAGTAAATTAAGACATCACCACCTTAGACTTGTTAATCATATCCTGAAGCGATTGCATTTAGATAAACCTTTACTTTACCTGCCGTCTGCATAGTGCGAACGTCAAAGTGTGAATGTGAAGCATGCTTTTAGATGTTTTCTTCAAAGTTTTGTTTAGTGCACATTTTCATTCATCGAAAGGCACTGTTTAATATTTGTAACAGACAGCCTGAAAAAACAGATTTGTATTGTCCACTCGATGGTGTATTTTGGTGAGATAGCAGAAATGTTGAAGATGCAGGTGCCAGAGCATTTCATTCTACATTCTTCTGCATGCCATGACAGTAGGCGGGGTTATGGCCACAGAACAGTGGCCATAACTCCGCCTACTTTCACTGGCCTACTGCGCTGCATTGCATTTTCTAGGGCAAGTCACTTGTGCTGTTGTTTGTGCTTGGTTGAGATGATGATGAAACTGTATTTTTGACATGAAAAAGGGGAGCTTTTGCAGCAGCAAGAACCTGATTTCTGCGTTGGCATTTTCAGAAACAATTGGCATGTTCAATGACAAGTTCTTTTTGATATAGGTTGCCATTATTGTTTTTCATCATGTGGCTCTTTATACGAGCTCATCTGCGTCCGCATGCTCTGCCTAAAATACTGGAACTTGGAGGTAGTATGTTGTTTGTTGTTTGCACCAATGTGTGTCCTGCACCACTTTATTTTCGGTATTTAGCTTAGACCGTGGAAAATATTGTTGCATTGTAGCATCAGCGGTTTATTCTTATTTTCTGCTTACTGTGGCACCTTCGTTTCTTTCAGGAAAAGAAGCCAGCATTGCTTGGCTACTTTGCTGGCAAGGAAACTCAGGCATATGCAACGTTCCGCCGAGTTGCGTCAGACTTGCGAGACGACTGCAATTTTTACTTCGTGGCCAGGTTAGTTCTGAATTTCAATGTGACCTTTGTAAATTTTACTTGGAAGAACTTTTTATCTGAGTATGTTTCGGCATGCAGTATTCAAAGTATAGTAAACTCCCCTTAAGATGGACTCTGTTCAGGCGAACAACACGGGAGTGTTTGTTTGGTTGCCCATAAACTCAGTGCAAAAAAAAATCTGCGTAAGATCAACTGCGTAACAGGCCTCTTCTGTTAAGACACTCTCGCAGTGACCGACGACGGGGATTCTGCGCATTGAATATTATAGGCTTAATAAGGGTGTTCGGGTGAACGACAAAAAACAAAATGGGGAGAAGTAAGAAGACTTCCTGGTGCAATGACTCAAAGCAAATCGAAAGAAAATTGTGACGTGGAGGGAGAAATCAAGATGCCGTAATTATTCGATTCTACCGCCCCCTCGATTGTAACGCGCACCCATTTTCACATCACACCACTCGGGAAAACGACTCCTTTCGCGAGCGTCTCCTGTTTAAATATGAGGTACGGGGGAAGCTTGTGCCTATCTGACGTGCAACGGAGCATTGCCATCACTCTAGTTTTACCGTGGCCGATGTCAGCACGTGAACTTGCTTCGCCCACTTTTTCTGGACGGTTGCGGTGCCAGGCATGTCCAAGAGGCGTCTGATCGGCATTCCTGATTTGCCCAAGCAGGTAGCCATTGTTGTGCCGCAAGTTTAGGACGAACCTCCGAAAACTGTAAAGCTTTTCTTCGTACTCTTCCGGCAACTTTTGGCATACGCCCGTTCGCCTTCGGAGGGAAAAGCCTTTCCTCTTCATAAAGTTAGTTAGCCAGCACCTGCTCGCTTTAAACTGGCTCCACATTAGACTTTTTTCTAAGGCTAACTGCATAGCCTGCACTTGGAGCAGTTCTGTCGTCACGGGCCGCTCACTGCTCAATCATATACTCGCCGAGCAGCTCTTCAATTTGCAGAAACCGACCCTGCTGTGGTCCACTGAAGCCTTTGCGTGAATGTTTGCTGTCGACAATATTCTGCTATTGTTTCCGCCAGTCTTGCTCGCACGTTTCGCGAACTCCGAACGACCGTGATGCGGCCCGATTTCCGTCCGTTTCGGCACACGCGATGACATTTTTTTTAAAAGCGGCATCGTGGTGCACTCGTCGAGTTTTTGGAGTCGGCCCTTCCATGCCGTCGATGCTAATGCACTACGAGATGACGAACTCTTCAGCTTACGTACGAAGTGCCGCACATGGGAAACAAATAGGCAGATTTGGCCGACGCACGTAGGGGGCAACCATTTTGGAAATGCCGATGGCAATAGAATGACCGTATTCATTTTTTTTTTCGTACTCGATTTTAACGTGCATGCGATTTATGAACTCGCTTAATCGGAAAAAAGGTGTGCGTTAGATTCGAGTAATTACGGTAAGTGAAAAAAAAAGGTCAGTGCATAAAGCTGGTGTCTTCCTCACATCTAGCCTGTAGGTGGAAAAAGGGAGCTAGTATTATCAGCAAAGAAAGCAACACAAAGCATTCGTTCTTTCGTGTTCTCCTCATGTTTTTTAGTTCCCGCACGTTGTGGTCAGTTTGCATTGTTTTGCATAGGGCCTTTGCGCATCGTATCTGTTCCCAATGAAATACAGCAAATTGTGAGGTGCCATCTTCATGATGAAAGTGCACGTCAAAGGAAGGTCAATTTGCACACTAAATATAGCTGTGTTGCGTCTCTTTTGTGTGCCCAAGGCTTGTGATCGTAAGTAGCGTAAAAGATCTTCAGCTACATGTCGTTCAGGAAAAGTTAGTGCAGGCTGAAAATGAGAAAATACTTGAAGCTCAAAGAAAAGCTTGCAGATTTTCATAAGCAACTTGGCGTATATACTGGCTTTGTCAAGGTAGCGATATGCAATGAAGGCATATCTAAAAGTGATAGCAAAGCCAGTAAAACTGCCAGTAAAACAGCCAGGTGAAGAGCCAGAAGAATAAATTTTCTATTATTTGAAGGAAAATGAGGCTTGTAGCTCGCTTTTGATCTTTTTCTAATCTTTAAAACAGGGTTGTGCTATAGTTTTATTGTTAAAATGTGGTAGCAATTTCTTCACGATCATATTTATTATGAACTTGCAAAATCAAGTACTCATTAGATTAGTGTACTCTACTTTAAAGCATAGTTTTTATCAAGCAGAGCCAAATAAATGTTTTTTTCTTGTTCCTTCCCTCCCCATTATGTATAAGTATACTTCATTCAGTGTTTTCAAGCAACATATTTAGGTGTAGTTTGCATATTAGCATTTGGTATTTGGGGGCACTTCCGATAAGACGAACAAATGATCGTGGTCCCTTCGAGTTCATTTTAAAGAGAGCCTACTGTATGAGCTGTGATGCTGTTCGAGGAAATTTGTGTACAAGAATGCATTTGACAAATATACCAAGACTTTCAGGCCGGGCCATTTGTAAAATTAAATTATGACTCTCTCTGATATCTGAGTAGCTTGCTGCTAACCTGCAGAGTTCACTGGAGCCACTGATTTAACGAGATGACTAGTCTCAATCGGAGCTTTCGACAAAGAGAAGACCCTTTCTAGAAGTGTTGGCTCCTTAAGTGACATTATTTATTTGACAACTTTTCACCATATTTAGCTTCCATGTTCCCATGAATTATTTTCTTGTTGGAATTGATTGTGCAGGTTAAAACTGAAAATTGTAGTGGTACAAATCTCTGTGTTAAAACTGAAAAGTGATAGGGATAACTCATCATAGCAGGCCTACTGACAAGATTCTGCTACCGTCAACCTGTAATACAGTTGAACCCCCTTATTAGAGGCACTGATGTAATGGACAAATGACTCAAAGAGGCACCTATGTGCCAACATCGATATAGGATTAGACCTCAAAACAAGACTGTGGTACCTTGCTTATAAGAGACCCTTCATATGAAGGACAAGAACTGCTTTCTGATGCTTGTTTCTTATGAAGTTGTTGAACTGTATGTCCAGGTTCACAAAATAAGGATTAATAAAGCAGGTGAAACTCGTAATAGTATTTGGTCAAAGTTTTCTACACCATACAATTATTCTCTAAGTGCTTTTCAATTATATGTTCAAGGAAGTTAGTTTACTCGGTGAAATGTTGGGTCATTTACAAATTAGTGAGGTAGTAAAATGCCTTTGCGAGATCCACTCGCAAATGGCTTATGCAATAGTGAATTTTAGGTGCCAAGTGAATAGTGATCTTGGTCAAACAATTTCGAATCGAATTCAAATAGTGTATATATATCTTAAGAGCTCACTAACCTGCACAATACTTTTTAAAAATTGAAATAAGGCCTCTGTGCAAATGCCATTTTTTCAAATTATATTTCAAAGGAAGTCTAAATAGCTTTGAGTAGTCGCAGGGTTTGACTTTCGGTAGAATGCAAGGAATAATCTATAAAATATATAACATTTTAAAATTGACTGTACTTAGAGTTCAAAGTTGGCTTAACAAGCTTTCCAACTATAAAAAAGTTATAAATCAATCTCAAGGTGATATGTTCATTTAAAGGGGCCCTGCAACACTTTTTCAAATAGCCATGTAATGGATTCACTAATTAAGCTTAATGCCTCCCGACTTCAACGCCGCAAAAATGGTTAGAATCAGTCCGGTACAAGCGGATTTACATTTTTGTCGCATGCTGCGATTGCATTCTCTCTTTCCTCCCGACGAAAGCGCTGGAAGTTCAGCAGGGAGGGATAGCATGCGAAAAGAAAATATGTCACGCGTGCCTCGTTATCTTGAGCACTTTTTCTCTTTTTTTCTTCAAATATGCGTTTTTTTCAGTGCGATCGCGCATGCAAGCGTCGAAAAGTCTCGGCCTCCCACGGCGGCCCCAGTAACGACCGAGTGTGCCCGGCTCAAATCGGTCAATGGCTTATATAATTGTTGTAACGGGCGGTTTTTAAAGGGGCCCTGCAACACTTTTTGAGCATGGTCAGAAAACGCTGCCAATCGGTAGTAGAGGCTCCCGACAACATGCAAGCCAAATATTATAGCACAACACAGCCTGGAATTCGCAATAAATGATCAATGTCAGCTAAAAATTGCTTTTTCTTTTTTCGACAAAACATGTTATAAGCCCAAAAATCACGCGTCAATGACCCATCTATCAGCCATTGGCTGATTTGTCCTTGTCCACGCGTGCGCGCGCGGTCACACTAAAAAAGCCACGCATTCGAAGAAAAAAAAAGGGGGGGGGGGGGCTCAAGGTCGCGAAGCACACGTGACGTTTTTCTGTGGCCCTGCCATCTCTCCCTCCTTAGCTTCCAGTACTTTCGTCAGGATGAGAGAAGAGAGAATGCAATTGCAGAATGCGACAAACCTTTGTAACCCTACTCGCACTGGACGGATTCTTAAAATTGTTGCCGCGTTGTATTTGTGAGGCAATAAGCTCTTCCAGTGAGTTCATTTTATGGTTACTTGAAAAAGTGTTTCAGGGCCCTTTTAAGCTTGTAGCATCATTTGTCGAGAGAAGAAAAAGCAAGTCGCCCCGCCGCGGTGGTCTAGTGGCTAAGGTACTCGGCTGCTGACCCGCAGGTCGCGGGATCAAATCCCGGCTGCGGCGACTGCATTTCCGATGGAGGCGGAAATGTTGTAGGCCCGTGTGCTCAGATTTGGGTGCACGTTAAAGAACCACAGGTGGTCAAAATTTCCGGAGCCCTCCACTATGGCGTCTCTCATAATCATGTAGTGGTTTTGGGATGTTAAACCCCACGTATCAATCAATGAGAAAAGGTACCTAGCATTAGAAAGTTAGAGCATTGTCATAAAGGTGTTCATAGGTGGGCAGAAGGTCTCCCATTAGCCTGCATGCTGCCATAGATGCTCATCACAAAATAATTAATTAATAGGGTAGGGGTGGAGAAAAAGCTCGCTTTTACAAATTTTGGCATGGATTCCAATTGGATAATTTTGCTACTGTTGCCATAGTACAGAAAGTTCGGCGAGTTCATGGCTATTTTTTGTCCAACATACACATGGAAAAGACGAAACAGACACCACGGGCGCAAAAGTTTGAAAAGTTCGAAGAGTTCAAAAAATGGAAGAGTCTGGCACCCATGGAGGAAGAAAATCACTGGAGGGAGCATTACGTCACGCAGCCAGCCTTGGCAAGCCAACACATTTAGAAGCCAGCCGTGTCGGCCCAACCATGAGTACTGTTGTCATGTTATACACAGGAGCAACAGCTAGGCTCTTTTCTGAGCTAGTAATATGTAACGAAGTTGTGGGCACCATCAACTTCTTCAGTACTCTTTGTTGTTATTTTAACTGACATTATTAAATTCCATATGCTGCTCACAAAATAGTTCTACTTAAAGCACTTAATTTGTGTCTCGCTCCTGACCTTGTAGGGAGGGGGTTGAAGCATGGCCTGCTGAAGCAGTTGCGTGCTTATATTCAAGTCATGAAGCATACGATTTACCACAATCACTTGCTGGAATGTTGGAGTACTACTCATGCAGCTGTTTCCATTTGTGTTGAACCATTGCTAAAGTAACGATAGTTATAAGCAGTATTTACACATTATTTTGTTTTCAAGCTTTAATAAGTAGTTGAACAACTTTATAAGAAACACTTATGTAACAGACACTTGGGATCTAAGAAGCACTAGTGTGCTGCATAAAAGTACGGGCTGATAAGGGAGTGCACAACTCGGTATCCTGCTTATAACAGACACCTCATATAAAACACAAGAATTGCTCCCTCGTGCATGTCTCTTATGAAAGGGTTCAACTGTGTAAGGATGATAAAGTCGTTGGCCATGCTTTATGGCACTCATTTTTCTCATTGTGTCATTCATATTTCATAGCAAAAAAACTAATTAATTCAGTGTCCCTGGGACTGTGAAAAATCTTCTAATTAAGCAGGTTTTCGAATGAAGAAAACGTACGAAACTTGGGATGCAAGGAACTCATGTCCTCTTTGGCTGTGCCGGCTAGATTGCGGATCCAAGGGGCGTATTTTTTTATTAAATTTTTTTTTAATTGGTCCCGTGGCTTGCTGAAGGTTCGCATACATTGCGAATTTCATCAGGCTGTCTTTATTAATTGCTTTATAATCCTAGAAAGAATAGGTGAATAACAATGCGCTGACGTAGTGAGAAACATGCGACATACTGCCAGCATGTCATTGCTGTGTTGCAGCAAAGGAAGTCTTCTTTTCTGTAGGTGCACGTTTTCGCTGGAAATGAGATTGGTCTTTTTTTTCTTTTTTTCAATAGCAGCTGCGAGGTTGGGGTGATCCACTTGTCGCTCGTTAGTATCGCAACCCTACACTGTCTTAGCGACGAAATCGGGATAGGGAATTGTCGCATGGCACTTAGTTTTTGAATGAACTGGGCTGGCACTAACCACCACTTCAAATTACCCGTTCAAACTTGCATTGCACCATATGGGACTACAGAAATCCTTGAAATTAAGCAGGATTTCGAAATACCCGAATACAAATGAATGAGGTTTTACAGTAGTGGAGGCTGGGATTTTTTGAAACTTCAGCTGTTTTCTCTGGCTTATCATGACTGCATATATCTGTTGCGGTTACCTATTTCAATTTAAGCATTTTCAAGCCCTGCAGTGGTTGCATTTGGCCAAAGTACGTGGAGTGAATTTCCACAATGACTTTGGCATGTCCATTAAAGGCGGGGTTGCACGACGCTATATCTTCACTGTGTCTTGACAGATGCTCCGAACGCCACCGTGTGTTGGGCGTTCGCTGGCACACAACGTTCATCACTCAAGCAGGCACTGGCAAAAAGCCACATGTATTAGGGCTTTTACTGCAACCACTGGGCACTGTGTGGTCGAATTTACAAATTTGGCCATCATGTTAGTGCCTGTGCATGTACTTGTATGAGCATGAAGTCACGTGTGAGGTATGTTACCAACTTGTCATGCAATGGTACTTTGCAGGCCTACAGGAGAAAATCTCACAGTAACAGCGGATGCTATTCACTTCAAACCACCTCGTGCAAAGGTGAGAACCTGCCTGCCGATTGATTTAGAGAGACCTAAAAGTTTCACGGATAGTTCGTTTTAAAACAGCAAATTCTTTGACTTCCTCTGTATAGAAATCTAGCTTAGTGCAGTTTGCCAATTACAAGATTAGTTTATGAGGCATACCTTACATTGCACAGTGCCTTCTGTTAACAGAGCTTACAATAAGTATTATTGATACCTTGTGAGTAGTACTTTAACAGAGGAGGGAGGAAGAACGAGAGAGAAGGCAGGGAGATTAACCCGTCACATGCTACACTCTAACAGAACTTATAGGGACACTAACGGCAACATTTAAGTCAACGTTGATTGTTGAAATAGTGGTCCAGAAACCTTGTAGTTTTTTGTGCCAAGGAAGGGCCTATTTTGAAACAAAATCACACTTTAGTGATTCGCATTGCGGTAGCGCACTTCAAATTACCCACCTCAAAAAGTGGACCGACAGGACCGACTCGCGTCACTGTTGCCATGCACAATGTTGCCCGGCTTTACTGCACTAGTAGCAGCAGACCGAAAGCAGCGGGAGCCACAGCAGCTACAACGGCTATTGATCAATTAATCACCATTGGCTCTGAGATTGGAGACATTTTTTTGGTTCAACTGTGCCCTGCTAGATGGCACCACCTATCCAGTGTAACTACACAAATATTGAATTTTTGAACCACTCGCGCCTTTCCCCATAGTAACGTCTGGTGGTTCTTTCTTTCATAAATCAAACATAAATGAACAAGCAGCATTTTATTGTTTCTTGATGCACGAAAGGTTCTTTATTTAGTGCAGCTAGATCGATTACTAGTGATTAATTGTTGGTGGTTCGTGTGATGTCATCAGATCATTTTGAGAATGTCCTACTGCAGCGCATGTGTTCTTGTGCATTTACCGGTTCTTGTGCATTTACCGTAATTTCTCTGCAAGTAGGGCACTGTTGTTGATATTGTTGTCGTTTTAGATGTTGTCATACATTGAGCTTTCACTCTGGCATAAATTGTTATTTGACTTTAGTGTCCCTTTAAAACTAGTACTTTAAGGGGAGATGCTACTCGAAGACACTTCTTCTTTAATATTCACTCTAGAGCAATGTAACTTGAGCTGTTTATGGAACTTTTTATGTTGATTTCAGATATAAAATTAGTCTTTTTTGCAAGTTACACACTTTTAGCTCTGCAACATGACAAAGTGAAAACCTTAACCCTTTTGCTCACCCTCTTTTCATCCCTAAAATTGTGTAATTTTTTTACCATTCATAGTTCATAATGCTTCAAATAAAGTGTAGAGTGCAAATAACTAAATAGGAAGCATATACAAAATATGTAATACGCGTGAAAAATAATAGACGTAAAAAGTCCATATTTCACCTACCCTAGTAAAGGTATACATACATTTTTATTATATAATAAAATATTGAAATTTAAACTAGATAATTGCATTTGTCATACTTTGGAAAAAATTTGGGCAAAATTTCATGCAGATCCGAGCACTAGAAGTGCCTGAAAAAGGAGGGGCACATTGGAAAAAATGGCAAAATTTGTTTTGAGAAAAGTGAGTTTTAAACTTAAAATTGAGTTTTTATTTGTGAAAGATATTATTAAATCAGATGAAATTTGCACACCAAAAACAACAATCTTTCTTGTAGTGGCCACTGCGACTAAAATACGGCAGCACCATGAGTTTGTCCCTCTCGGCGTTTTCAAGCCGACTCCTTACAGATATTTCGCTCACAGACAGGGTCATTAAACGCTTGCCAAACTTCTGCTCCATCTGGCAGAGCCTTGTGCCAACTGCAAGCTAGGAAGAAGTTCGACAGGACTGCGAAATCCAAACTAAGTCTAGTGTCATGCCAGTTTGCAGCCATGTTTGTGCCACATACCGTTGTAAAGAATGGCAATGTCGTCCCTGCTAAGTTCTCTCACTGCGAGCTCTTTTGACCTCTCAAGATTGGCACTGACGTCCTCCATTGCCGCATCACGAACTTTCCGGCTGACGGGTGTGAATGACTTTGATGCATTGGCTTTTGCAAGCCAACAACTGCCGCAAATCGGACCAACTGCTCGTAGCTTATTCCTACAGCTTACGCCGCACAACGGCTTTCACTTGCGAGCAATGGCTTTTTTCATTCATAACGGAGATAATTACATAAGAAAAGCATTGTTCAGCTGCGCTGCTCGACAAGACATGGACCCCGAAAATAGGTTTCACAGCTCATACAGGTGCGTAGCGGGCAATGGCGGTCCCCGATTCGTACCATGTGATGAACCAGTCGTGGCGCTCGAAAAGCGCGCAGAAGAGCGATTATTTTTATTAGTTCTTGCGCTGAATCAGCGAGAGAAGCTGTTGTTATTTGAAGAGTGATGCTCGACTCCTTCGACTCATGCGATCAACAATGGCTAGCGGCGGCGCATTATCGGCGGCAAGGTGCTCGAAGACTGCACACTTTCGACCTTCTAACAGGCACCTTGTGCTCTTTAGATGAAATTTTAAAGCATTTCCAGCTAAGTCTTGGCCTTTATTTTTTTTTTTCATAACAGTAGAGGTACTAATCTTATCAAAACAGGCGAAAATAAAAAAACGGTAATTTTAAAGAAAAAAAAATGCGCTTTTCGACCCGCATCTCCCCTTAAATGTCAGCATGCAACAGGAGGCCACCCAAGGTTGTTTCTCCATGCTTGCTACATCTGAAAGCACATATGAAACAAATTTCTCAGTCTCTCAATCTGTGGGTCCTCACTTTAGAGCAGATATGTCATGATATGTGTACAGTAATACCTTGTTAACTCTGTCTAAAAAACCAGGAATAATTCGAGATAAACATATTTTCAAGATAAGCAAGGTTGCGCTAATCCCCGGCAAAAATGAGCTCTTTTCAGAAAAAGGGCTACTTCTTACTGGCTGTTCAGTGGAAATCTCTTACGTTTCTTCACTTGCAGATTTAAAAGAGAAAAATATACTTGCAGTGAAGAGGCGTTTTCATTATATAACATACAAGAGACTTTAACCGGCTGGGTTTTGTCGCACTGCCATTTTATTTAGCAAAGAAAAACTGCCTAACGCTCGTGTGCTTTGTGGTCGTACTCGGGCCTAAGAAGGCGTCTGCTAGCTGCTTGACGCATAGCATCAGTCCATCTTCCCCACCGCTGCACTCAACCTTATTCTGAAGCCATACCATCAATGCCGCCCCGATGTCTGGGAACTTTGACACTCGAACTCGCTTCCGCTGGCTGGAGAAGTTTTGATGAAATCCATTCAGCGCCTTCTGCTTATTTTTCAGCACTGTCGAAAGCGTACACAAAGGCATGCTGAACTCCTGCGCAATGCTCCATTTTGTTCGGCCTCCTTTCTCCACTTCCTTAATTAGGGTGTTGAGGAAGGAGAGGCGAGACAGTGCCGATGAGCCTGTGCCGAGGTCACAGCTTTTATTCAGGACGCAGGTATAGGCGGAGTCGCTGCTGAAACGTCCAGCCAGGCCAGGAGCTCAGCCGTTCTCTTTCCTTGTGGCTCGCGCACCACAAGCCATGCGGTTGTCTTCTTCTTTAGTGCGGCAGCTGGCCAAGACTGGTGCAACGCTACATGGGCTCCCCACCTAGCGCTTTGCACGATTTCAAACATGTACTAAAGAAAAAAAAGGGGTGGACACTATGTACATGAGCGGCAGTTTATGGTTTGTTCATGGGAAAGTCCAAGTTGTTACCATGAAAAATGTTGGGTATCTGAGAGTTCTGGTGGGGCGAGGAGAGGGCGAAGTGCGCGCCGAACACATGATGTAGGCAGCAGTGATGCAACCTGTTGAGGACCTTGTGGCCATGGGCGTCGGCGGCACCATCGGTCGCCAATCGGATAACTCCTCAGTGCAGATGGTTCGGCGTGCAGTGATGACTCGTATGGGCAGGTGTCGCAAGTGTTGCATGGTCGTTGTAGGCGCGAGCGTCGTTGAGAAATTGACACTGTCTGCATGAGGTGCGGGCATAAGCACGCTAGTCGATGGTCCCTGAAACAGCATGCCGGAAGAAAGGCTGTGCGATGCACACTGCGGTTTCAGACGGGCTGCAGACGCGGCGGCGGGCAAGTGCGTAGAACTGCGATGGGCTGATGGCATGAGTGCAAAGTGTACATGGATGGCAGCGACGCTGGCACATGTCTGGCATGTGCTGAAAGGAAAAGCCCCGTACTCGAGCAGCACTGATCAGAACCACTGCGTCGTCGAATGTCGTGCGGAAAGTGCTGATCGGTTTCAAGCTCTTCAGCGCTGTTTTCAGAGATTGTCGGCAGCAAGTCGGGATCTGCAAGAGAGTTGTGCTGTACCAGACCATGGCACGCCACGTATGTGGCTACATCACCACCTATGGCAGCCGCCACAAGAGATCTTGGGTGCGGAGCGGCATGCTGGTCATATGCTTGCCTAGCTGGCGAGTCGCAATTGGGTAACTTGGACATGAGCATAACTGGAGCGTCTTCCACAGACGTTGGTTGCCATGCTGGCGGTAGCTTTGGTGTTGGCGTGGAAGACGCCAGCTGGTTCGGTTACGGCGCCGGTTTGGGTGTCGCACACTGCGTCAGTAGGCGCTGAAGTCGTGTTCACCGGTGTGTTCACAGGCGCCGACCGGTCAACCAAAGGCGAGTGGCGTACGCTGCGATATGTTTGTGAAGCAGTTTGTCGTAGGACGGTCACCTACCTCGTTGTTGTGGCATAGCGCTGGACGAGATGCGATTGAGGAAAACCGCAAGGAAGGCTTGATCAGCGTCGATGAAAAAGCACCATCCGTTTGGTCGGTCCCGTGTCGGAGGCGATAATCAGCGCCGCAAAACCGTAGGACGGCGTCCCATAGTCAGTCATATGGGTGAGAGCTCCAAAAGGAATAGGTGAGGCGTCATTTGAGGTCAAGTGGAAGAACATACTCGAGGACCTCAAACATGAATTCTTGGAGCCAGATGCTGTTGGGCTTCAAGGCGGCTCTCTTGGAACCATGACTCGATGTCGGTAGTGCG